TGGATCCTTAAGGAAGTTCAATTTGAAGCCTCGATCCTGGAACCCCATTCCTGAGTCTCCATGGCCACTGCACAGCCCTCAGCCCAACACTGCTTAGCACAGAGCTTCTCCCTGCCAGAGAATCATCCAGGAAAATCCTTTCAGATCATGGAGTCCAGTAATTCCTCCAGCACTGCCAGGGCCACCACTGCCCCATGTCCCCAAGTGCCACATCCACGTGGCTTTAAATTCCTCCAGGAATGGGGACTCATCGCTGCTCTGGGCAGCTGTGCCAATGCCTGAAAATCCTTTCAGCAAAGACTTTCCCCTCATATCCAACCTAAACCACCTCTGGCACAACTTGAGGCCATTTCCTCCTGCCCTCTCATTCTGTTCCAGGATTCTCTACATTTCCAGCCTGGAGAGGAGAAGGCTGGGGCGGAACTCTTCAATGTGCAGCAGTACTGGAAGGGAGGGTGCCAAGAGGATGGGGCCAGGCTCTTCCCAGCAGTGCCAGCATCCCAGACTTGAAAAGCCTCCACAAGCCCTTTCCAACACACAAAGCTGCCCTGGCCATGGCAGAATGTTGTTTTTCTCTGGATCCTTAAGGAAGTTAAATTTGAAGCCTCGATCCTGGAACCCCATTCCTGAGTCTCCATGGCCACTGCACAGCCCTCAGCCCAACACTGCTTAGCACAGAGCTTCTCCCTGCCAGAGAATCATCCAGGAAAATCCTTTCAGATCATGGAGTCCAGTAATTCCTCCAGCACTGCCAGGGCCACCACTGCCCCATGTCCCCAAGTGCCACATCCACGTGGCTTTAAATTCCTCCAGGAATGGGGACTCATCGCTGCTCTGGGCAGCTGTGCCAATGCCTGAAAATCCTTTCAGCAAAGACTTTCCCCTCATATCCAACCTAAACCACCTCTGGCACAACTTGAGGCCATTTCCTCCTGCCCTCTCATTCTGTTCCAGGATTCTCTACATTTCCAGCCTGGAGAGGAGAAGGCTGGGGCGGAACTCTTCAATGTGCAGCAGTACTGGAAGGGAGGGTGCCAAGAGGATGGGGCCAGGCTCTTCCCAGCAGTGCCAGCATCCCAGGAGATGCACAGGGACCTGTCAGAATCCCCCTCTCCTTGTGCTGCTCCACCAAGCAGAGGGATTTCCCACCTCTCCCTTCTGGTATCACTGCAGTGCTCTCTTTCATTTTCTGGCTGAAATGACCTGCAATGCAGAGGCTCACTTGCTGCACTGATCCTGCTGCCAGATCTGTAATCCTCAATCCCCCTGGGGAATGCCTGGAGTAGGAAACCACTTGGCATGGCAAGCACGTCAGCATTTTCCTGGCTGCATTTTTTATTGTCTCTTTGCTGCATCCCTGACTTCAGTTAAGTTTTCTTCCCTTTCATCCCCCACTTTCTCCAGCCTCCCCCAGTGCCTTGAACTGAGGTCTCAACATCCCTGAGCTCCCCCATCTTGGACACACCTATCCAGGTGTGTGGGGACAGCACATTTACTCCATCCATCCCAAGGTTTTCACGTGGGGCAACAGATCTGCAAATGGAAAAAACGTGGGGAGACAGAACTGTTCCCTTGGCAGTGGCATCCCTCCTTCCTGGGAGGCTCCAAAGGCTGACTGATTGAGGTGGATTCCCTGCTAATCCTGCCCCTGCCATGCTGGGATTTACAAGTTATTAATGGTAAGGACCTTGCTGGAAAAGCAGTGCAAGCTGCAGAGCAGCCAGACTTCCAAGCAGCAGAAGATGCTTTATTTAGAGAAGATGGTGCAGTTTTTGTTTTCTTTTTTAATTACTATCAGCAGTGAGAGACATTTGTGCTAGAAGGGAAAGAAAACTCACCCACTCACATTGGTTCCTTTTAATATTTCCATAAAAGAAACAAAAAGAAACCCTGGCACAATTTGGAGTAAACATCACATTGTTTACCCCATTTCTTCTACCCAGTCTCAGTCCTATTGACCTTTTGAAAATAACTGAATTTTAGACTGGTTTGGGATGGAAGGGATCTCAGATCACCTCATTCCATCCCTGCCATGGCAGGGACACCTTCCACTGTCCCAGGGTGCTCCAAGCCCTGTCCAGCCTGGCCTTGGACACTGCCAGGGATCCAGAGACAGGGATCCAAAGCCACAGCTTCTCTGGGAAGCTCCCCACCCTCACAAGGCAGGATTTCCTCCTAATACCCAATCCATATCTCCATTCTTTTAAAGGCAAAATCTGGGAACCAAAGCAACAGAGGAAAGCCTGGTTCTAACAGATCCTGCTGCTGACTTGCAGGGACCCACATTTCACCCTCTGCACTGGAGAAGTTCCCCAGATTCCTTAACTACTCCCTAGTTAAGAGAAGGAGAATTTCCAAGCAGGAAATAGAGCCCTGGAGCCTCTGTGCTTCCTCAACACCTCTCTTTGCCTCTGAGTGGTCGCTGTGTGCTGCTCACACTGTGGCACTTCAGGGACAAGAGGCTTTCATGGAAATCAGTTTATGGCAATGAATGATGGGGATCACAGCACATTTCTGTTGGGTCTGTTTGGGAAGGAGAACAGGTAGAGGCATGAAGGGGGTCTGTTAAAAATGGAAGGAAAAAACGTGCTTCTGCTAGTGGATTTGAGGATTAAAATAATTTTTAAGTCATAGAGGTGGTGAAAAGGACCCCAAGCAACAAGCAAAAAGTGAAAAGAAAAGGACAGAGCTGTCAAAGCAGAAAGGCAGGACAATAATTCTTAGAGGAGCACCATGAATCCATATAAAAAGCAGGAAAAATGGGATTTCTCAAAGGAAGAGGCAGCAGGAGCTCAGGAGGAAAAGCGAAGACCTGAGCAACAACTCAGTGGGGAGACTGAAAGTGCAAAAAGATCCAAGCCCACAGCAAAGTGCTGTGTTCCATGAGGAAAAGAGAGCCTCCAAAACCAGGGAGCACGTGGAAATTATGGATCATGCGGCACCTACTAGCTGTGGGAAACTGGGATTAGCCCAGCAAGGAGGTGGTCACTGACAGGCAGCTTCTGAGTGCAGTGAGAAAATCCAAGGTGGAAATGCAGCCCACAGAGGGATCCCAGAGCTGGAGAGGCTGGGAATGCAGTGGGAATGCTTCTGGCACAATTAGGCAAATCAAGCCTATTAAGGGACAATCACTCTGAAGGGTTGTTATCAATCACTCCCCTCGCTTTCTTTAGGCAATTATCCTAATTGCATCAAGGCTATTAAGCAATTATTTTGATAACTGGAGCTTTTTTGCTGGCTCTTCGTTCTTTGGAAACGTTTTGTTCTTTATATAAATGCCCCCTCCAAAAGATGTTTAAAGCTGATTTTAAGGATGTCCTTTTCCCGAAGCACAAGATTCAAACTTCTGTGTAAAAGCACCAAGTCCCTCTCAAGAAAACGCTGATTTTTAACCCTGGGTTTTCCCTCAAACCTCCCCACCACCCAAATCTCCCAGGGCACCAGGGATTTAGTTCCACTTTTTTATTATTCAACTTTTTATACATAATAAATACAAACTTTTTACAGCCAATATAAAGAAAGCATTTGCACTGATGCTTTCAGGGTGTACTGAGCTGTACACGATGCGACGGCCGATACACGCCCTGTATGAAGAAATCATAGTTAAAAAGGAGGCATCTTTTTACAACTTTTCTTCCTTTTTCTTTTGTTTTTTTTTCTTTTTTTTTTCACTTTTGTTTTTTAAATAAAATTAGCAGCTCTTACAGAAAATATTTTAAAATACAACTAAAGAGACTTTTAAATAAAAATTTTCTGGATTTTTGAAAGTCCGGGTGTGAAGGACACAGACCTGTGTCCTGGCCAAAAGAATTGAACATGAAACTGGTGAAACTGGCCAAAAGAACTGAACACGAACATTATGGCAAAAACTTGGTTTTCTTCTGCGTTGTAAAGATCTCAAAATATTTGCAAACAGTTAAACCTTTTTTTTTTTTTTTAAAAACTTTTTAAACTTAAGAATAAGTTTGATAAACACATAAAAAGACCTCAAACAGATCAACAGGACAAGAGGTGCAAAAGAAGGAATAAAATATGGAAAAGACTTCATTGGACAGTCACTGATTCCATAACTGATCCATGAATTGTTGCCCTCAGACAGCCCCACTCTTGGTTAAGGATCCCACTGGGAAAGGAGACTGGCAAGCACTGGATGTCTCAGAGACCCAGCCTGGGCTGGGGTTTCCAAGTATGTGCAAAGTTTATGATAAAATCTTGTTAGGTGAGTCGTTGGGTTTTTGTTGTAAATGCAGCCTCAAAAAATAGCCCTTGTTAGTAAACTAAAGGTTGAAAACTTACTGGCTTTGAGAAAAAACCATGAAGACACAAGAGAACCCACAAACAGCTCCAAACCCAACCTTGGGATGCCTTTGATCTGAAGTTTTCATCTGATGGAGAATGCTGACAATATTTTAGTCAGCACCCAAGGCAAAACCTGCTTTCATCCAGTTTTTCCCTCTCCTCCAACCGTTCCGCTCCACATTCAACTTCAGAATGTTCCTTGCCCTTTTCTCTCAAAAAACCTAAATCCAAGCTCCCTTTTCAGAGCTCTCTGAGGGAAATGTGAAACTCTTTTCCTTTCAGTTTCTTCCCTGAGAGGAACTGGGCACATCTCGGGCACAAAGGTGGTGTGAAGGCAGAACCCGGAGCTGCTGCTGGCTCCCTGGCTTTGGCTGGTTAATGGGATTGGGGTGGGAAAAGGCTACAGGGCCATCCAATGCAACAATAAATGCATGTAAATACTCTAAATGGAACTGCTAACTCTAGAACTCAGGTGGTTTGATGACAAAGATACACTGCTAACGTTGGATAATAAAGTACACAGCAATAACTGGGATAAGAGTGACCCAAATGCTTTAAAAAAATAAAACAAACCCAACAAAAAAAACCGAAATCCCCAAAATCTGCTAAGAAGAAAAAAAAAAAAAAAAAAAAAAAAAAAAAAAGAACCTAAATTTCAAGACCCAAAAAAAAAAACCAAAACCCCCAAAATCTGCAAAAAAAAAAAAAAAAAAAAAAAAAAAAGAAAAGAAAAAGCAGCTCAATTTCCAGATCCAGACAAAAATGTCACTTGCTTTTTTGCTTTTCTACCCGTTGGTTTCTGCTGTGGAAGAAGATGTTGCTGCTGGTTCAGCACCTCCATGTTAGATCCTCTATGAGTAAATGCACTGAGTAAACACAAAAATCCAAAGGCAGAATGTTCAGCTGTGAATCACTGACAAGGGGAGCACCCATGGAATGAACACTTTTGCTTCTCCAGGAGATCATTTTCCCGTCTCTTCCTTCCTGCAGGGGGATTCAAGAGGAGCCAGCCTCTCCTTTAGACTTCTTTTTCTGTTCCCTTTTTCATTCTTCTGATGAATACCTGATCAGGCAGGTGATGCTACTGGAAGGATCCACAATCTTTAACACATTCCTATGGCAACAGTAATATACTGTACTAATGCACAGGAGCAAAGGATGCTAAGACTAAGCTGCATGAACGGGGCTCTTTCTTTGTCTCCACACCAAAATGGAGCATCTCCAGCCAAGAAAAAAAGCCAATCTTGGCCTGTCTTGGTTTGTGCTAAGAGAAGAAGAATGATGTAGAGAAATCCAAACAAACAAACAAAAAAAACCCAAAAGGCACAAAATATTCATGACTGTGGGAAGGAATCCGCCAGGTCACTGCCACATAAAATCCTCCCTATCGCTCGCTCTAGTCCAAGTCTTCATCATGCAAAGGTGCCTAAAAACGAGATTGACCAAAAGCTGTGTTTGGCCTTGATTGTAGCACTACTAATTAGCCAGTCCCCTCGTTACACCAGAGTGATTTCCACGTCCTCGATCTTCTCCGTGGGCCGGCGGTGGTGCTGTGTCGGGGGGGGTGGAGCTGCTCGCACCTGCAACATTCAGAACCAGCCTGTGACTACCCCAAAATGGCCAAATTCCACCAGAAACCCCTGACATTTCCTGCACTGAGCTCCAGGGTCACCCCTCGAGACGATGCAAACAATGATGTTGTGTGTCCAGCGGGATGCAGCTCCAGTGCTGCCCAGTTCAGCCATCAGGGATTTTCTTTATCACCTGTCCCAGATTCCCTCCAGGGTGCAATCCCAGATTTATTCCATGGATAAGCCAGGATGGAAACCTGGGAAAGGCTCATCACATGCTGAATCTGATGGTGCTTTTGCCTGGAATTTCTGTGGAGTGGGAACTGCCAGGATGTTCTGCTGCACCTGACTCACTGATACTTCATCAGTCACTGACCTCAACAACACACACCCAAAATGTGACGCTGTTCTCACACTCTGCCACATCAGGCATTTTTGCTCCTGACAGAGATCAACTTTAGCACCAATTTTTAGGGGTTTTAGGACACCATTTCAGAATTCACCAGACTTGCTCTGGAAAACATGAACTGTGGAGCAATCCTGCACCAAACCGCCCAATACTACCTCAATATTCAGAATATATTATTTGAATATCCAAAAATGCTCTTTTTCTGCAACCTCGTTCACTGAGAAGGCCAGGAAAAGACAAATGTTATGGTTTAGTATCATGTGGTTTAGGGCTTTGAAAACCCCAAAACTTGATTGTAAAGTTAATCGTAGAAGATGGACTTTGTCAAGTTTTAAGTGATTTAATTATTCCCTTCCTTTTCTGGCAAATGTCCTTTTTCTAGGCAGCAAAGACAACACAAAACCCCCATCATTAGGAATCGTGAATCCAAGCCCCTCAAACCAAAGGGGGTGGAAATAAACAGAATCCCAAATATGCAGGAAACTTCTGGAAAGCAGGAACTGTATAAACCACAGGACTGATCTCTTCTGTCACTGACTCCCCACCTCTTTTTCAGCTCTTTTTAGAGGCTGTTACCCTTTGAATATCAATATTTTGTACTATTTAAAATATTATTATAATATAATATTAATATAATAATAGAATATTTAATCAAATATGTTATTAATAAAACCCACAGGATTTGCTGGTCACTTACAGGCCGCAGTTTGCCATAGGAACTTTCCGGAGGAATTCGTGGAGGTTGGGAGAATCCAGGGGACTCTGAACCAAAGCTGTTTTCTGAGGGAATAAGCAACACAAAGAAGCCCCTCAGTATTGCTGAATTTATACTGTAAAAATGTTCATTTTTTTTCTTTTTTTTTGCCCCTCTGAAAGGTTTTTAAATGAAGCCTTTACCCAAAATGTTTGCGAATTTCTCACCGTTCGTCGACGGAGACCTGGGGAAAAATTGGGATCCTCTTTTATCCGGGCTGGGATAGGGACTGGTGGGAGGCTGGTCATACAGAGGCAGTGGTGGCAGGGAGTTGTTGGCCTTTGGAGTGGGGGATACCTGTGCCAAAAAGAGGGAGAAGCTGCAGCAAATCCTCCTTGGCACATTTAACACACACACACACACACACACCGGTTTTTCAACCCGTCTCTACTCCAGCAAGTTCCCTTCGGAGGAAAAGCAGCTGGCAGGGAAATTTGGGAAGGAAAGCCAAGGTATCCAACAGGGATCCAATTTTTTTAAATCACATGTTGCCACTGAACAGAAATTTTCAGCCTCTCCAGGTGATTCAGAGAGGCTTTTTAAAGGTTATTCGAAACAAAAAGGTCACTCGGACAAGCGGGATTCACATGGAAGTGTTGGGATCACGAGCTTTATCCCCACCCAAAATGAATTTAAATGTTCATTTTCGTGGTGTTCCTAAATAAAGTTAAAAAAATACGAAAAAATTCCACTGTAGAAAACATGGAAGTGCAGTTTCTACCTCCAAACTCCACACTGGAATGTGTCTGATCTTCTAACACGATATAAGGATTATAGAACTATGCTGTAGAAATCAGGACATTTCTGCAAAAATTACTGTAATCCAAAACTTGGCAGTATCCTGCCCCTCAAAACTGAGAGCATACAGAACAGATTTAAGTATGAAAACACTAAATTAGGGCTGAAAGAACCTGTAATTCTCTTTTTGCCAGGTTGTGTCTGACATCTCAGTCTCTCATAAATTAATGACAGGAAGTAAACTGCAAATTTTCCTTTGATTGCTTTCTATCCAAATATCTGCCTTTATTCACAAGTTTGCAAAACTACATCACTTGACAGTTATTAAGGTTGGGTAAGAAACTAAAATGCAAGCACTGAGGGCTTGGGTTGTTTTTTTTTTTTCTTAAATTGGTTCTGATTTTTTTTTTTTTCTTAAATGGCTTCTGATATTTTTTTTCTTAAACTGGTTTTGATTTTTTTTTTCCCTTGAAGAAGTGACAGAGCTTTCCAAATAATGAACCAAGCCAACACCTCTTTCCATACCTGGATATCCCCAATCCACTGAGTTTCTCCATTCTCTGAGGCCGTGAGCTCTTCAACCAACACCGAGGGGAAGACCCCGACGCGGCCGTTGAATTCTCCCTCCCAAAAGCCATCATCATCCTGGTTTTCCTTGTTCAGGATGCGGATGATGGCTCCCTCTGGGAAGGACAGCTCGTCATCTGTCTGCCCCTCGTAATCATAAAGTGCTTTTACAAAACAGACTGCAAAATGGAAAAGGAAAAACCCAGTGAGCTAAGAAAAAAATGGAATAATACACCAAGTTTGATAGCTGGAGCTGGTGAATTTGAAGTTCTTTTAAAGATTCTATTATTGCTGAGCCAGATTATTTCAGTTTTCCTTAATTTTAATCTCAGCTGTATGAGCTGAAGAGGTGAATTATGCAGATTTAATATGAGAGAGATAATTACTGAGAGAATTACTGGGAATGGCTGTGTTCAGATATGGGTCAGTCTCTCTCTGCAACTCCCTGAAAGGAGGTTGTGGCCAGGTGGGGCCTTTTCTCCCAGGAAACCAGAGATCAGACAAGAAGAAATGGCCTCAAATTGCACTAGGGGAGGCTCAGGTTAAACTTCTTCCCTGGAATAGTGATTCAACATTGGAATAGGCTGAGAAATGGTGGAGTTCCCATGCCTGGAAGGATTAAAAAATGAGCAGACTTTGCAACATGGTGGGATTTGGTCAAAGATTGGATTTCACGATCTTGGAGATCTTTTCCACCATTAATGATTCTATGACTCCATGAAATCTGGGAAACTGTCCCAGACTCAATATCCAGAGTGTTTCCAAGAGCCAGCTTGATACCCTATGCATTTTAAAGTGGGATTTACCATTGGAGTCTCCGTTGAGGCTGCCTGGCACCAGGTCAGCCTCCGTGGAGTTGTTGGAGGTGTGGGATCGGGAGTCCAGCGCAGCCAGGGACTGGAGCATGCTCAGGAGGCTGCTGGAGGTTGGGAACTGCAGGTACTTCTCTGGCACATATCCCACCTGTCCTGCCTTGTTCCGTGCCTGTGAACCAACAACAGGAGCCATTCTCTGCTTGGGAGCACTGCTCTGGAGAGAATCCCAGCATTGCCTCCCATCCCAACCTCTATCCTGAAAGAGTTCATGGAAACAAGCTGAGAAAATGATACCTTGACCCAGTCTTCCATATCTCCATCTTCTATGACCTCCAGCACCTCGTGTTCCTCTATGGTCAGCTCATCTGGCTGAGAAGCCTGGAATGTGGGACAGGAAGGATGGAAAAGGAAAATGGCTTTGAGGGCAAGGCATGGGCAGTGGAAAGAACATCCTGATCTAGACTTTTGTTAGAAGTGATGTTTGTCAAAAAACTGAAAGCTTGAACATGACTTAAAACATCCCATTGAAGGTTCTGCCATTCACAAAAGCCCTTCCCCCTGAATCTCACCCCATCAGAAAAGCAAACCTCAAGCTCCCAAAGCACATTTATTATTTGTTCTTATATAATTCATTTTTCTAACCAATTTAAAAAAATCACTCACCTTATAGGAATAAACAACTTTGCAGGTGAGAGGGTAATTCCTAAGAGTACCAGAAGGACTAGAACTGCTGTCATCAAAAACATCCATGCTGTCTTCAAACTCTTCACCTTCTTCCTTTTCTGCATCAGCATTGACCTGGTAAAACAAATTCCAGTTGGCATTACAGCAGCTGCTAAAAATTGGTGAAGAAATAACAATAAAAATGAGCTGGTTAATATTTTTCAATGTGTATTTTTAATGACTTATTGTTATTGAAAATAACTCAGCTGGATTTCTTTGTTCAAGCACAAGCACCTGGACTTTTAAGAAGCACTGCAAAAGATTTTGGAAGCTCCAGCTCAACTGCTGGACAGTTACAAAATCAATTTTTCATATAATCTGTGACTAAAGTACTTTGGAGATGCCAACGCAACAGCACAAAAAACAGTTTATAGGAAAAAAGGGAATTTATGCAACTGAAAGATTAATGTACCTGCAACCACAAGTTATTAAATGAATCTGCAGTGGAAATATTTATAGTTTAAAAAAATAAACCTCCACATCAACCTGCTAGCTGGTGTATTCCACACAACAGATTTGCTGCAGTTTATTACAAAAATTCTTAAGAGACAGGAAGATTTGTAAAAACGTGCTATAAAAGTTTAAATAAAACCTGAAGTCAATGTGCTGGAAAAATACAAGTTTGGGTAAGACTGCCAGGAGCTGTGCTTTGGCCTCGTGCCCGGGTTATGTTTTGAAGAAATAACTTTATCTCATGTGAAAAATGATGAATTATTCCATGAAAACAGCTCTGTGAATCAAAAGGCAACACTGTTATGTAGAGCCATCTTCCCTGTGTTTATTCCTATTAATTTGGGAGTGAATCTGGTGCTCCCCAGCACCAGAAAAGTGAGAGACTGATAAAACAAAACAAAACAAAACAAAAAAAAACCAAAAAAAGGTTAAGCTGAGCCTACCAATTCCCTACACCAGCTCTCTGACAGCTTTGCTCTTCTAGGCCTGGACTAGAAGAGCACGAAACTTCATCACGTTCTCACTTAATTAGTTTTTATGTTACTATTTCCAAATAAAATCCTTGCAGTTCTGGTGATTTTTTCTTCCTCTCTAACTCTCATCCAAGAGCAGTTTGCCTCCATCTATCCTTCACGGATGTTGGGATAACCAAAAAAATTGTCCTACAGCTGGGCAATGCTTTGGGAGATCAGCAACCAACCAGAAATTGTGGCAAATCTGGGGTTTCCCCTCCTGTTTCTGTGCCTTTTGCTGTGCATGGTCCCAGCAGCCAGGGCTGACATCCAGCTGGGACATCATGGAAATCAGCAAATCATGTCTAGAAGGTTTGGGCAACATCTGCTCCTGCTTTTCTAGCACGAGCAGGAAAAACACGCCTTCCTTTTCAGCATGGGGGCTGCTCTCAGCTCCTCAGCTGGAATCATTTGGGAAGCAGGCATGGAGAGGGAAAACAGGAAACTGAGGGGTTGGCTTGACACAGCTCATCCTTCTGCAGGGTCTGGGAAGGAGGATGGCACCAGCAAGGAATCAATGTATGGGACAGAAGGACACTAAAGGTGTGGGACACGCAGCAAACACAGGAAGAAATGCAGGGGAGGTGATCAGAAAAGCAGATTATATCAATGAAAAAATTATGGAAATATATATATATATAAATATATATATTAAAAATATATAAAAAACTACTGTGTTTTGTTGCCCATATGCACAGATGGGTCCTGTCCCTGTTCCCTGGAGCACAGCCCGACCCCCCCGGCTGTCCCCTCCTGTCAGGAGCTGTGCAGAGCCACAAGGTCCCCCTGAGTCTCCTTTTCTCCAGGCTGAGCCCCTTCCCAGCTCCCTCAGCCCCTCCTGGGGCTCCAGCCCCTTCCCAGCTCTGTTAAACACTGCCCATTCCTCCAGGCTGGAGTCAAAGTGCTGCTTGTTACAAACTGCAGTAATTCCTCTCAATTCTGGCATAATTTTGGTCCCAGCTCTAAGAATTCCATCTCTGGGCTGTCCCTGTCTGGCCTGCCAAGGTCAACAGAGCCTTTTTTAAATACAGGAGCCTACGTAAGTGTAAAAGGGGAAAATGAGACTCAGAGCTGAACCTCCCAGGCTGTGGCACTGCCTGGGACCAGCACGGGGGGCTCAGCTCCAGGGCCAACTGTGCCAAGGCTGGGGACACTGGGAATGGGGGACTGGGAGACTGGGAGCAGCCCAACAGGCACAGAGGGAAGTTAAAGGAGGTGGAGTACAAAAAGAAATGGAATAAAATCACTGTTTAACACAGCTATGCAACAAATCCTCATCTACCGTGACCAGAGAGGATCTGAAGTGAAAATCAGCACAGGAATTCCTCTGGGATTTTGGAGGGCTGACACTTGGATCTGCACACTTGGAGAGCTCAAGACAACATTATAAACTATTAAGGAAACTTCAGAGAAACACAGGCCCTGGACACTGTTGTCAGGACACCTCAGGGATCCAGGGGCAGCCACAGCTGCTCTGGGCACCCTGTGCCAGGACCTGCCCACCCTCACAGGGAGGAATTCCTTCCCAATATCCCATCTGTCCCTGCCCTCTGGCAGTGGGAAGCCATTCCCTGTGTCCTCTTTCCAGGTCCTTGTAAATAGTCCCTCTCCAGCTCTCCTGGAGCCCCTTCAGGCCCTGCCAGGGCTCTGAGCTCTCCCTGGAGCCTTCTCCTCTCCAGGGGAGCACCCCCAGCTCTCCCAGCCTGGCTCCAGCCCTGCAGCAGCTCCGGGGCCTCCTCTGGAGCTGCTGTATCCCACAAAGTCAGGAGCAGCCCCTGGAGAGATCCCCCAGCCCTGGGCAGATGTTTCCCCTGGGAATCAGAGATCCCCCAGCCCTGGAGAGATGTTTCCCCCCAGGAATCCGAGATCCCCCAGCCCTGGGCAGATGTTTCCCCCTGGAAATCCGAGATCCCCCAGGCCTGGGGAGATGTTTCCCCCCAGGAATCCGAGATCCCCAGCCCTGGGAAGGGGTTCCCCCCAGGAATCCGAGATCCTCCAGCCCTGGGGAGATGTTTCCCTAAGAATCCGAGATCCCCCAGCCCTGGGGAGGGGTTTCCCCCCGGGAATCCGTACCAGGTGCGCGGAGCCGTTGTTGGTGACCGAGGGCAGGCTGGCCCAGCGCTCGTTCTCCAGCTCCTCCATCACCTGGTTCATGGCACTCTTCAGCCACGTGTCCACGGACACCCCGATCTGCTTCAGCAGCTCCAGCCTCGCTTCTGCCTTCAGCTTGATGATCTGGGGGCACAAACACACACAGAGCTCAGAGCTCCTCAGGGTCCTGCCCTGCCCCCTGGATCCTCTGACCATCCAGATGGCTCCCGAAGCTGCTCCCTGTGGAAATGAGCCCCACTCCTCATTTCCTCTCCTGGTGTGAGCCAAGACACAGGCAGTGGTTTTCTGGAGGCCCAGCCAGTCCCACCAGTTGGTGTTTTTCAAAATATTACCTCTGAGTTTATGCCTGCTCCCAATTCACACCCTTAAGTAGCTCAGTGTAGCTTTGAAGTCCAACAACACTGTGCTTCCCAAGGTTTTTACAATGAGGAATATCCACAGTGCAGACCCTTCCAGGTGGTGACTAAGCTGGATGTGAAACACAAATAAACCTGACAGCATACACACACACCAACACACCAACTCCCAAGCGAGGCTCTTTTCCACCAGCACGTGCCAGAGATCACAGGAAACTCATTTGTTATGGAAGCACAATATGTTAATAATTCCCAAATTAAGTAAGTATCGCACTCCAACAAACAGTTTCAGGATTTTTGTCTCCAGAACAGCATGAAAATGGAGGTTTTCTGACAGCTGGGTTCACTTCAGCATCCTGGCAGGCTGGCTGGCCGATGGAGCCAAGGATTTAACAAATTCATGGCAAAGCACCACCCTGATCCAAATTAGTTCACAGTCTATACAGGAGGGGTGGGAAGAGCAGTGGGAAGAAATTCAGGATTTCAGCAAGAGCAGATTTGCATCAAGAAGTGGAGGGCAAACCCAGGGATAAAATTGAAGGTATTTTTGTCCAGACCAGCCCTCTCAACACCCCCCTGCTGCCGTTGCTCATCAGAGAAACAAAAATCAAGTGATTTCCCAAAAATCCTTCAGTGAGTCACTGATGGAGGCAGCAACAGAAACCCACTGAACCACCCCAGAATTCTTCTCACATTCCCTTTCACAGCACTGGTCATTTTTAGCAAGTAGCAAAGTTTCATCTCCTTTCTCTCCCTCCCAGCCCTTCCCACAGGGATCTGAAGCACCTCACTGCTTCAGATCAAGCCCTCAGCATCACTGGGAATCCAAGCAAAACCAGCAAAAACAGGTGAGTTCAGGCAAAAATTAGAAGGAAGTTCTCTTTCCAGTAGTGGCTGAAGCACAGCAGAATATGCAGAATAGGTGTACAGTGAATTCAAATGCCAATGGGTGCCAGGTAGATATTTATCTCTTACACAAATCCTTACTCCATACAAAATTTTGTGTTGAGCTGAAGTGATACAGGTATTTTTCTCATTTTTGGCATGCTGCTGCTCTTACAGCATCAGAGAATCGTATCTTTCTACTAAGAAACTAAATCAGAAAAGAAATCACTAACTTTATTAAGCTGAACTCATAAAAATGTTTCCATTTTCACTTAATTTGTGAAGATGACTTTAAATCTGTCTCAATCAAACCACTTCTGAGAGACTTTATTTTAAATTCTGCATAGCAGAAATGTGATTTTTTAAGGAGTAGGTCAGTTGTAAAAGGGAAATTTATGATGTCAGATGAAACCTCATATGGGTACAGCTGCATGCACACACTCTGCCCTGTAATCAGGGATGGAGAAAGGAGGATGGGACAACTTTGAGAAGTGTTTCCCACGGGAAAAGCCACAGACACTGGGCCACTTCTTCATGCAAGGGGTCTCCAGGTGAATGATTAACAGTAAGTAGTGTTCAGAGAGCTGAGAAAAGGAGGAAACATTCAATACATTAATGTGCATCCCTTCTCTCCTGTTCCTAAGCATCCAAGATTTCCAACTCCAGCCTTGGAACTGCACAGGGCAGGGAGAACAACCTTGTCAAAGGCAACTTATTCACAGAATCCCAGAATGTTTCGGGTTGGAATGACCTTAACATCCTCCAGTGCCACCCCCTGCCATGGGCAGAGACACCTTCTGCTATCCCAGGGTGCTCCAAGCCCTGTCCAGCCTGGCCTTGAATATATAAATATATATATATATATATATAAATGTATATATTTACTTGTGGAGTGAAGTAGCTTTCCCCTAACTTGCCTTTACATCCTGACACCCATTTATGAGCACTTTCCCTATGCCTCCACCTAGGAATTGCTCAGCCCAGTTGTTTTTGTTTACCTCATTATGCAATTTCCAATTAGGCTGAGTTATGCCACAGCCATAAACAACTGGTCCAGGCTGCTACAAACATCTGCAGTTGCTGTTAGTCCTCGCTCTGCTGTAGTTTGTTTGTACAAATTGTGAGTTAAAATAAACAAGCTGCTCCAAAATCCTTGAGTGGACTTGACAAGAGGTTTTAATTCAATGTACCCAGCAAATCCAATGGAGTTCCCCTTCCTTGTTTACACCCAGGAGCCTGAACAGTCAACAAATGTTTGTTCCAAACCACAAATGTTTTGAGTTTCATTCCATTGCAGACAAGCCATAAAAGCACCAGAAGCATTAGGTCAGGCCTGCACTTGAAAGTTATTTACAAGCTGAGACTGTATTTTTACCTAAATAATTATGCTGGTAGACCAGAGTTAACAGCTTCCTACCTGTAGGAAAAATACAAATAAAATACCACTCAGGAGCAGAACTTTATCCTGCTTCTCACACAGGAACAGCTACACATTTAAACATGGTTTAGTGGTGGCCTTGGCAGTGCTGGGTTGGACTGGATGATCTTGGAGTGCCCTTCCAACCTCAATGACTCTGTGCTTCTATAAAGACAAAACATTTCATTCAAGCACCACTCCATCTGAACGAGCTGGATTTGATGCTTTCATTATGCCAGAATAAAATGTTAAGTAAGAAGGAAACAGGGCAACAGTGGTGATTTCACCACATTGTGTCTCAAACTTCTCTCCAAGTCTTGTTCCATTGAAAGATCATCACATCAGAACCAAACAAGGCTTTAATCCTGGTTTTCCCTGCCTCCCACTGGAGTCCCCAGGGACACTGGGGGCTGAGTGACCTCCACTGACAGACTGGGAAACATCTTCAATCAAGTGACCCCTGGCAGTCCCAGCAACTCTGAGCATCTCCAGGAAGGCAGCTGAGCTTCCCAAGCCCAGGAATGCTGGAATCCAGCACTGGCTCTGAAATCTGGGTGCTGCCCAAATTTCATTGTTAGGAAATCTCATTGCAGGACAAACATTTTCCTGTGTAACAGCGAAATTGCTGTTTACAGCCACCAATTACTGGTTAATAGCTGAGGACTGGGGTATTTTTACACTGATTAAAAAAATCATCAGCCACCCACAAAATGTACAAACTCTTCCGGGGGGTTCCTGCTCCTCTGAGCTGTTCTTTCTGCGGGGAGGATCTAAGAAGATGAAAGGAAAAACCACCCAAGTTTTAGAAAATATAAACACTGTTATCTATTCCTCACATACCTGACGTTGCTCCACATGGAAGATGCAATATTTTTGTTTATTTACTGTTCCAGTCTTAATTAAGCAATGGTTTTTTGACCCACAGCTTACTCAAGATGAAGACACACAAGTGCTCTGCAAGGCATGGAAATGAAATCCAGCAGGAACATGACAGAGCTGTTCCCCATCCCCAGGAGAGAAAAGGGCTGGAAAGAAACCCAGAGTTCCTTCACATCCCACAAACACCTCGAATCCAAGTCCTTCAAAAACATTTATAAAGGTGTTGGGGTAAAAACCACACAGAAATGCAGCAAATGTTGCTCCTTCAATATTCTGGTTTAGGTTTTTGTTAAAGCCACTTTTAAATGGATTTTCCTGAAAGCAGAGTTGCTTTACCTGCCATGGCTTTCCAAGGTGCAGAACAAGGTGCCATGCCCAGATATTTTTCTCCTGAAGAATTCAGATTTATTTCTTTTACACAAAAGTTGCACTTAGGAGATTGGTCAGATACTAAAATCAGATTAAATTAGGATTATGAGGAGACCCAAACCACCTTCTGCGAGAAAAGTTTTACTCCACTGCAATATTTTTTCACTGGCAGGAAAAACAATCATAAAGGAATCATTTAGGGTGGAAAATCCCTCTAAGATCATGGAGTCCAACTGTCCCCCCAGCACTGCCAAGGCCACCACTGACCATGTCCCCAAGTGGCTGGACACTCCCATTTGGCAAATTCTTTTAGCCAGGAAGAAATCAATGTGGAGAGATTCTGGCAAAACGTTCTGGAAAGCCATTATCTTTATTTCTGTCCCCATTTAGAAAAACTTTTTGTTGAAATTCTAGGCTTTTTAATTGAAAAAGATATTAAAATTATTTATTTATTTATTTATTTAATAGTATTAAAATGAAATCATTCTGTTCAGGAAAAGTTAAATTTTGGGCCACTGGAATTAAGATACAGTGATAGGCATGAATGTAAATCAATTTTATTTATAATTAAGTCTTGGAATGCCCTAAACTTCTCAAAACCCAAAGTGAGTCTTATTCCATGTAGTTCAGTTTTAAATTACAGCCTGCTGTGTTTAAGTAGGGGTGTATGAGGAAATAAACCAAAAAATCAACTTGCACTGCCCTGCTGGGGTTTGGGGTGGAAAACCCAAAGCTGTGGCAAAACCACCCCAGCCAAAAAGCCAAATCCTGTCCAACACAACTCACCTAAAATCTGGATCCTTTTTCTGCACCAGGTGGGGAATTAGCTCATAAATTACATTTGCCACCACAACACTGAGTTTCTTTTCTAAGTGGGGGGCTGGGCTGGAGGTTTGTACAGCTATTCCAGGAGTTAATTTATATGCTAAATAATCTGTATGGGCTGAAATGCAACCTGAAGCAAGCAGGAAATGAGGCACTGGCACACATAACACCTCTCCCAAGGGAATTCCAAGGTTAAGGAAACAGAGGGGAAGCTATTCCTGGAGAAGAATCCACTTGCACAGCTCCAGTCCAAGTGGCAAATGGGTTTTTGCCAACCTTAGACACACAGAACATTAAAGATCCCTAAGTATTGAATTTGTAGGGTTTAAAAAGTGGCTCTCAAGCTGTTGGGAGCAGGGCCTGAATGTACATCACCCAAATTCTGTAAGGAAATAGTAAGTGTCTGTAAAATGTATGTATTCAGTCATTATCATGTTTCTCTGCAGCACAGGGGTGAACACTGTTCCTTCATGGAGTGAAAAATGTTATGGACATTGCAGAGCCAAAACATTCAGTAAGACTGAGGCACAGGCTGGATTGGACACCCCAAAGGCCATCACTTAGAAAATCATCCCAGTCCATCCCTGCCATGGCAGGGACACCTTCCACTGTCCCAGGCTGCTCCAAGCCTCATCCAACCTGGCCTGGGACACTTCCAGGGGCAGCCACAGCTTCTCTGGGCACCCTGTGCCAGGGCCTGCCCACCCTCCCGCCAGGAATTCCTTCCCAAGATCCCACCTAGCCCTGCCCTCTGGCAGTGGGAAACCATTCCCTGTGTCCTGGCACTACCCACCATGTAAAAAGTCATTCTCCCCTTCACTAAACTGCTTTCCACCAAGACAGTTTGAAATTCCTGCTCTGTGGGTGTCACTGTGATTCTTCCAGGCCAGTCCTCAATCTGCTGACCTGGAAAGACCAACAGCTCCCACACATCTCCTGCAGGGATGGCACCTGGCTCCCTGCACTGCTCCCCAGCCTTTGCTTCCTGAGCTCAACCAGAGAGGCATTGTACAAATTCACCTTTTGGATGAGGAGCCTTATTCCTGGCAGTGCTCCAGGCCAGGCTGGACAGGGCTTGGAGCAACCTGGGATAGTGGAAGGTGTCCCTGCCATGGCAGGGGTGGGACTAAATGATCCTGAAGGTCTCTTCCCTCCCAAAACATGCTGTGACTGTGACTCCATTTAGTCTATTTTCCTGAAGCATATGGAATTTCCTTTGTTCCCACTGTGACACAACCCAGCAATAAATATCCACAGGCAAATACAAGGAGAGGGAGAAATCAGCCCCCCAAGTACAATTTAGAATGGCCCTACACCTCTGAGCAGATCAAACAGAGTGAACAGCACTGCAATGAGCCTTAACCAGATCTAATCTGGTACAAACACCCTCTGGAGAGCTGCAGGTGTCCTGATGAGGAGACAAAATACATCCCCCTGTAATTAAGTGGGAATAGGATTAATTGCTGTGGAGGCCCAAAGACCTGAGAGCAAATGGGAAACCTGTCCCACCATCCTGGAGAAGAATCCTGTCAGCCCTGGGATAACTGAAATCTTTGGGGAGAGCCACGCTGGAGCCTTTGGTGTGAGAGAGGAAAAAGGAGATGAGGAGAAGAAATCTCCTGTGCTGGCACTGCTGAGGCACCTCCAGTCCTGGGGCAGCTTCAGGATGCTCAGGACAAGAAGGACATGGAGGGGCTGGAGGGTGTCCAGGGAACGGAGCTGGGAATGGGCTGGAGAACTCCTGAGGGAGCTGGGAAGGGGCTGAGCCTGGAGAAAAGGAGGCTCAGGGGGACCTTGTGGCTCTGCACAGCTCCTGACAGGAGGGGACAGCCGGGGGGTCGGGCTCTGCTCCCAGTAAATTTCTGTCTCCAGTCATTGAAAGATAAAGGGATTCAGGCAGTGGGAAAATGGAAAGCTCAATTCATCCCTTCCTCCCTGCTGCTACAGAAATCAAAGCTGAAATCACAGAAGTTCTACTGCAATTACCTGAATTGGGTCAGTGAGTACAGAGGAGCTCCAAGAATGGTTTATTTTCACAAATAATCAGTTTTCAGTATCAGTTCCCAAATTTTTAATTGATCTCCTTTATAGCTGATGCCTGAATTGTGCCACTTTCAATTTGAAGGAGTACCCTGTGGTCTCAGGGTTTGTCTTTATCAAAGTGGTTCAATGCAGCTGGGACAAGGATGGAATCCCTCTGGATCTAAACTCCACAGTGTGTCATTAACTACAGCCAATTTTACTTCTTTGCCAGTGCCAGAGGTACTATCACTCAAAATCTAACATTATTTTAACATTTCCTTTAAAAACAAGCAATCAAACAAAACAAAAAAAATAGCCCCTCCTTTAACAAACCCCACATTTTCCAATTTTAACACAAAAATGTGTGCTCTGGTTATCAGTTACAGTCACATCTGTCATGTGTCACCTGCACAGCAGCACTCTGCTGGAATTCCTAATTTTCCCCTAACTCTAATCAAGGAGTTTGCTCCCTGAAAACATCACAAGGGAAAATAGCTGTTATCCCAGGGAGAAAAGGATCAGAAATAACCCACTGAGCTGTGGATGTGCCAGTCTGAGGGTTTATATTCATCCTGCAGAACACAAAACAATTGGGATTCTCCAATATTTCCTAATCCTGAGCACATTTTTACTCATTTCCCTTGCTGTACTTTCAAATGACACCTGTTTCCACACTCCTGTACTTGTTAAATCCAGTTATCCATAGGGAACAGCTCCTCAGCTCCTCCCAGGGCTTAGATTTCCCTGGATTCAGGGTCTCCAAGGAAGAGGGAAATGAGATGAGCACTTCTATGCCCAATACACCCTAGGAAAAAAAAAAACCTTTACCAATAAAATCCTCTCTAACCAAACCAGAAAGATTTAATCCCAATGAGTTTTTGAAGTTGTCTTCCTCTTCAGAAATTATGAGGACAGAAAAGAAAGGAGAAAGTGGATTTGCAAAGGAAAATGAACGAGTCAAGAAACCAAAATGAGATAGAACAGGTATAAAAACTTCCATAAAAAGAACAAGCATTTCAAGAGAAAAATAAAATAAAAATCTAATTTCTGTCATCCTCACACACCTTCAGATGTGATACCAGAATAAACTGCACAGCCTCCCTACAGCCTAAATAACTTTTTGCACAAATACCATTCCCCTACCCAACCCTCAGTCACTCCAACTCAGTCAGGTGCACTTAAATATGCAGGAATGTTTGGTTTTCACACACTGCAAGGAATTACAATTGCATTCCCAAAGAACAGGTTCTAGCTCAAAGTTTAGGTTGCTCTTCTCCAGGATTTTGTCTGATTTCTGGTCTTGAGCTCAGTCTTAGGGGAGTGGGGACCAGCAGGCCTAAAAGGAAAAGTCATTCCCAAGTGGAAATAAAATCTCCCTAAATTCACTTATTGGCTTATCTGAAAAAATAATTAAACAATGCTACAGTATAAACAGCTTTGGTGGCAATACAGAAAACTCCCACAAAGAGGTTTCCACACCATCCCAAAAGCTCAGGGATAACTTCATGTCTTTAAAATACGCAGCAGAAGAGAAAGAAGTTGGCAAAGATCCCTCAATCACTGAGTTTCATCCTCAAGCACTTGGCACTGGCACCACATTCCCTTGTAAAACAGGGCACGTGTGAAATGTTAGCAAGATAAGGGATGCTTTAATTCCAACACACTGGAAAACCAGGAAAATACACTATTTGTATTAGCTAAAACACGTCATGGAGAAAATAATATATAAAATTCCCACTTCTTGGCACTTTCCCTCTCTCCTAACTCATGTTAGTTCCAGAATGGTTTAATTTGTACCTTTTATAATATTTTGCTGCAAGAACTTTCTCTTTGGCAATTTCTTAGCCTGATTTTATTTCTTGCTGCTGCTTTTATCTTTGCAGATTTAATAATTAACTAAGTACACATATACACAAGTATTCTGGAGTATGGTCTCTTGGAAGTAATTTACTCAAAACAGGTTTTTAAACCACTTTCTGTAAGAATTAGGTTTTAAGAGAAACACATCCTGCATTTGCTTTAAAAAGGGAGCCTGACAGTTCTCCTGCCAGGAGGAGGAATATTTTTGCTCTGTATTTTCTAACCCCTTCACCTGTAAATCACATTCCTAATTACATCAGGTACTCTGAGGTATAAGAAGCGTTTCACTGAAACAATTAGGTTTCTCCTACAGTTTTAATTAAGCAACCCACTCACCCAAAACCCAGCAGATCAGATCCTGCTGCCTGCAATGGGGTTTTTCAGTCAGTGGTCATGAAAACAGTTCACTTTTACCAGCCCAGCACTGGCAGCCAAATAAAAAGTTAATTTTTTCATGAGTCTTAACTCACAACAGATCTCAAAAACCTCTATAACTCTTTTAAAAGCCCCTCACACTAAAATTAGAGATACAAGGATTATTTCCAATGTTTTCTCATCCACAATCAGATTTAGTTTGTGTATCAGAACCCACTACAACAGCACATGGCAGTTCTAGAACCTAAAAATATGAAGTCAGATAAAATCACCATTTTCTGGTATTAATTCCTTCAATCAGAAGGAAATTAGTAAAAAACAATGAGATTGTTTTCCAATCTGTTTCTGATAAAGCCCCTAAATATAGAGATTCTTGACCTTTGACAGTGAAAAATGTAGCAAGAGGACTCACTCTTCATCAGAAGGTGTTTTTAACATAATTTTTTTGATCTGGACTTTCATAAAGATTTGACAAATACCAAACAAAGAAAAAAAAAAATCTTAAAACTCCCTGGGTTTTGATGCTAAAAATACACATTTCCACCAACCAAATGAAGCTGTAACCAAGATCTACCTGTGGGAAGGAAGTGAAAATGCCAAAAGAATTTCCTTTTTACCTCAGCCTTGCGAATGCTCTCCCTGGCTTCATCTATTTTCTGCTCCAGTTCCGCTCGGGTTTGCTCGGACATCACGGCCCCGTGGCACTCCAGCTCCTCCAGGGTCTGCCAGGAACAAGGGAACACAGCACAGGTGCAGTAGGTGCCAAGGACAGGAATTTGTGACAATCGGGTACAGTTTGGATGCTGGGGTTGGCTGACAAAGGTGCATCCCAGGAAATAAAAGGTGATGACTCTAACGCTGCCCTCTGGCCATTCCCTGTGTCCTGTCCCTCCACCCCTTGTCCCAGGTCTCTCTCCAGCTCTCCTGGAGCTCCTTTAGGCACTGGGAGGGGCACTGAGCTCTCCCTGGAGCCTTCCCAGAGATGTCAGAGCATTCTGGATGCTGTTTTTTTCCAGGTGATGCTGTGCTCAGGGGCTGGAATTGTATGGAGGACCGGGAAACTGGGCAGGGTGTGGTGAAAGCACAGCAGACTCCATGGCTGGATTTTTTGCAAGGAACTTTTGTCTTTATTCTCCCTCCTAAAAGACACATTCAACACATTCCAAAACCCAGCTGCCTGATGCCCAAACACAGCCCTTGGCTCTTCAGAGCTGAGCCACAGACACAGAAATAAATTTACCAGTTCCCATCTAATTTTGCCTCTTCGCATTAGATTTAACGGCCAATTCCTCACGGATTTTCCCGGTGTGGAACTGACTTTTGACAGCCACGTGAAGGCAGGCCCCAGGTGAGTCCCTGGTGCTGTCAGCAGCCCCTGTGCCAAGGGATGTGCTTGTCCCAGACCTACCCTCTGGCTGTGGACGATGTTCTTGTGCTCACGGGCCACGCGCGTCGCCCATTTCCGCGCCTCCTTGTTCAGGCTGTGCTCCTCGGTCGTTCCCGTCTCTGACTCCAGCTGTCGGCTCTGGAACGGGCAGCAAGGGATGAGTTATGATGGCCCAGACCTCTGTGTTTGCCTGCAGGGTAACTCTGTGCTACATTTATCAGCCTGGGGTCTTGCTTCTTATGAAACACGGAAGGTGTGACAGGAACTTCCTGGTGAACTTTGGGATGGGACCAGGTTGTGGGAAGGCAACTCCGAAAGCTCAGAAGAATTCAATTCTCAAAGGAAATAGGCATTATAGGAAGCAAAGATCATGGAATCATTGAATGGTTTGGGATGGAAGGAGCTTTAAAAGCCCATCCAGTGCCACACCTTCCACTGTCCCAGGTTGCTCCAAGCCCTGTCCAGCCTGGCCTTGGACACTGCCAGGGATCCAGGGCAGCCACAGCTTCCTTAGGCACCCTGTGTGAGGGCCTGCTCACCCTCACGGGGAACAATTCCTTCCTAAAGATGCAAAGTTTAGTGTGACCAAGAGGCTCATTCTTTGTAAATTGTGATCAAACCACAAAGCCATCAAATATTTCAGTTCAGCGTGACGGTTTCTGCCCAAAAATGTTTGCGTCTGCAAAACAGAGTCCGGAATTTCCAATCACATTTTTGATATTGTTCCATCTTACTCCTGCTTTTGTTGTGTCAATGACAAAAAGTAAAATTGTCCCCCTCAAGAATTTCCAACTAAAGCAAGATGAAATAGTTCTCTGCACTGTCTCCAGGCTGAACACAACAGGAACATTTTCCAGCATGGAATTACTGAAATCATTCCCAATCTTTCCATCATTTCCATTTGTAACAGAATCACAGAATCATCTTCCATTTCTGAAGATATCCAGAAGCCGCCTGGATACAGCCCTGGACAACCAGCTCTGGACCAGACAACCTCCAGAGATCCCTTCCAACCTCAACCAGTCCCTGTGATATTTTTTTTTCCCTGATCCAGACACTGCAATCCACAACCCCCCTGCTCTCCTTTTCAACACAACTCCTGACATAATCCTGCCCAGCCTGTGAGATCAACCAAAAAAAAATCCCTTGCAAATTGACTCAAGAAGAGAGAATACGCACAGAGCTGTTGAAGTGTGAAAGAAATGCCTGTGTCACAAATTTCTCACTCTGTGTGGTTCAAATGACACCATTTTTCTTCATCAGGTGGAGTTTGAAACTAGAGAAAAAGCCCAGAAGGATGAAAAGGTTGTTTAGGCAGGAGAAACCCAAGGTTAGCCATCAGGAAAGGGTAAGAGAGCTGAAAGACATGGAATTATTTTCAGGGTAGCTGGGAAGCCTCCAGCTGTTGCAGAAGAAGAGGAGATGCTGTTATCAGGTATTTTAGCAGGAAAAGAGGAATGATTTGTATCAAGGAAGGATGAGAGTTTCATCATCTACACCAGCATTTGGCACGGACTGGGGTGAAACCAAGAACACCAGGAGGCAAACTGAAGTCATTCTGAAAACAAGATTTTTCTGCCCTTTAGATTACACTGTCCTCAAGGAAGAGACAAAAATTCCTAACTGTTGTTGACAGCCTATCAGGGGATATAATTGAAAAAGAGGCAAAATTGGCTCAGCTCATTATTTGTTCAGTGAAGTTCTTTGCCAAAACTGAACCTGGCCTTTATTCTGAGTGTGTGAAATGCCAGCCAGAGTTATTTTCCAGGCACAGGGAATTGTCAGGCTAGGTGTGGAGCAGCCCAGAGGAGGAAGAGGAGAGGTACAGGCACGGGGCCAGCCCTGGGATGATCAGGTGGGAAGGTGAAGCTTCAGGCGAGGATCTCTTCACCCATCCCCTCAATTTAATTAGCAAACTGGCTTTTATTGAGATGGATTTAGAGAATCACATTCCTTCATTACTGCCTCCTTTCATTACCTCTGTTAAGCTCCTCCATTGTAAACTTGAAGAAAACAACACATGGATTTATTTAGGCACATCCAATCCTTAAGGTAACATTTCACCTCGGTTTTTTCCCAGTTCATCACACAGCTTCTTCCACAGCTTCCACCTGAGCCTAAACCTGAGCAGAATCTTTGACATTCCCTCTTCCCCATCAAACATCTGAGAGTGAAAAGAGCCCATAACATATTTTCAGTGCTCCCACTGCTCTTGCTCCTACTCAGCAGCTCATTTTCATATGGAAAGAATCCAGACTTTTCAGTCACTTGATAATCTTCTCCATTACCCCAAGTGTGATTTTGGGTTTTAGTCTATTTATAATCAAAAGTATTTGACCAGAAAAATGAATGTGGACTTTGTGGCTACTCTTTAAGGCCTCCTAAAAAATAAAGGAATTTTGTAGGATCAGACTTTTATTAGTTATTTATAAAGCAGTATTGCACCCAGACAGACCTCACCCTTGGCCTAAAGGTCTAAAAATAAAACAAAAATAAAAATGTGGCAATGAAAAGCCTTAACTCTGTACCCTCAGGGAAAAGACAGACTGGACAGGAACATCAGGAAAATGAAAACTCAGCTGCCATTAAAATAGGTGAGAAGAAAGGAGCTAAGCCAGATTTATCTGCTGTGGACATTGAAGTCCAAATTGCAGGGAAGAAGGAGGAGGAACTGAAGGGTCTGATCCTGGTTTACTCCACGAAGCTGAAGTGTTTTCAGGCCTGAAATACCTCAATTTAACCTCTCCCAAAAAGAGAGGGAAACCAAACCCAGCCTGCGTGGCCAAGGAATGAAGGGAGAGCCAAAAAACCTGAGCTAAACATAGATGGGCACTCTGCTGCTCCCTCAGGGCTTGGGTTACAACAAAACCAGTGTTTAGTGCTAAAAATTCGATCAGAAAACCAAACAGAAACTTCTGCATGGCTCCAAGCAGCTAAAAAGCTTAGGGGCAGCAATGCTGCTTCTTAAATTAACAAAAGCATCCAGGCTGCAGGCACATGTCACTTCTCCATTTCGGTCTGAAATGTTGGTGCAGGTGCAGGATTTGCCTCCCAACAGGCCAAACTCAGCCTGTATTCTTATTATTCTTATTTATCTGGTTGTATCCAGATGCAGATGGCACAGTGCTGTCTTGAAAGCAAAGACAAAACCAGCTCTTGAGCCTCAAAGTTCCTTATTTTTGTGGCTGAAGCCTAAAAAAGTTCACTTTAGCAAGGCAAAATGCAGGGAACATTTATTGCATGCAAAGCACCGACATGAAACACAGCTAAAAACCTGGCATTTCTTTTAAAGAGAGGTGAAAACAAGAAGTTTCCATGCCAAAGCTGCAGAGCAGCACCCTGGGGAGGAGGAAGGAACACACATGACATTTTTCACACAACTCACTGCTAAACTCAGCACTTCTGAGAAAATCGTGAGCCAACTTTGGGGCTCCTTTCAGTCTCCTGTTGCTGAATTAATTTGATTTTAATTTAGCCAAGAGTGAGCTGGGGCTGGCTCATATCTCAGTCAATTTCCAACATTTCAAACTGGACACTCCTCATCTTTAAAAATTCAGATTTTTTTTGCATAAAGGGGATTTTTTTCCCCCTCAGAATAACAAAAAAGGACTTAAATCCACTATTATTATTATCACATATTTGTTACAATAAGGTAAAATCCAAATCAACCTATTATTGCTGTTTTATAGAACCACATGCTGCTTTTTAAACTAACAAATTTATAATATGTTATTAATACTAGACAATATTATATAAATCTAATAAATTGATGAGGGGGCTGCAGAAGGAAAGGGAACATCAGACTGGGCAGGGATGTTTTGTTTTGGCTTTTTTTTTGTTTTGGTTTGGGTTTTGGGTTTTTTTGTTTGTTTCTTTTTTTGTTTTTGTTTTGGAAGTCTAGAATCTTAAAAGCATTGACTTTTATTAAATATCAGTGATCAACACAGCTTTGTTATTCCTAGGCCTTGATGTTTCTGCATTAAGAACTGCTGCTGCATACAAGAGATGAAAAGCACAACCCTTTTGTTAAAATTAATTTGAATCTTATTTATTTTTAAAGGTTCTTATTGTTCTCACTGAAATTAATCTTGAAATTAGAGTGCAAAGTATTTTTGTGATTTACTTCTATTCTCACCCTCATAATTATCCTCATTTGCCTCAGCTCTCACAGCAGCTGCATTCCCAGCCAATTTTTTCAAAAATCTATTAGGACTAGAAATATGGAAAAATGGCCCTCATTAGGTAATCAAAGGCAAAAAAACCCCCAAAAAAACAAGAAAAAAAACCTTTTAAAACCAAGTTTGACCCAGAAAAACTGATTTTGTGGGTATTTTCAATGCAATATAAACAAATCTGTAGTTCTGAAGTGGCCACTGCTTTCTGGTGCAACTTCTGCTCTCTGATTTTCATTGTTAGAAAATACTCAGAGCTTTGCTTAAATTTTGTTTCCTGACTGCTAAAAGCCAAAGAATTCTGTGTGCTCTCTAAATTAAAATCAGGTGGTGCAAATTAAAATAAAATCCATTAAGTTGGGAGCCAATTCCAGCTCATTATACTTAGGAGAAAATGAGAAATGATCCTCACATTCAACCTAAGTTAAATCCCCAGTAGATCCAAAACTTTCCTTTTTCTTCAGTATCAACCTCAAATATAAATATCAGATTTTAGATCTTATTTTAAGCACAGATGGGGTGGGAGGGATTAAATAAAATCAGTTTTAGACAGGCACAAGATGGGTCAAGTCACAGAAGGAAGGCAGAGCTTTGCCCACTCACACCCACTGATCATTTCTTTATCTGAATGGCTGTAATTCTCCTCAAAAAGAATTCCTAATACTGAATAAAATTAAGTAATTACTTCTTTGTGATATATATTTAGCCTCAAAAAGGTTATACCTAAAACCAGTCTGTTCCAGTATTAAAAGCTTGATCAAATTAAATAGTAACTTTGGTTTTTTTTTTTTTAGGTTTAACTTCAAGAAAGTTGTACTTAAACCTGGTCTGTTCTGGTATTAAATGTACAAACTACTGTAAATATAGAAATATAGGCCCTTTTTATGTAACTTATATAAAATTCCTTCATAGAAGATGCTGAGAAATTCCAAGATGTTCTTCTGAAAAGGGAAATTCATCTCTGTTTTCACTATCTACCCATGAAACAGCCAAGTTACGTGGGGGGGAAACTGCAAAACTTTCCTCTCAACTTCCTGAGGTGTTTTTGTGCAAATTAAGAGGGAAAAAATAACATTATTTTCATGTCACGAAGCAGTGGGAGAAATCAGCTGGGCCACAGCTTTTCCTCATGTTCTCTGAGGAAACAGTGAATAAAAAACAGGAAAAATACCCCAAAAATGAAATGTCAGCTTTTCAGGGCCCTTCTCCCCCCATTCCAGGGACACTTTTGTGTCACCTGCCTCCTTTTCCCACGAGATAACCCTGGGATCAAGGAAAAAGCAGCTTTTCCAAGCAGGAAACAGAGAAAAGCTGGCCAATTTCCCTTCTCTTCTGCCCTGTTCCCGTGCCTTATCTGTGAGCACAGGGCATTTCTGTGGAATTCAGAAATATCCCTTCCCTCGTGGGAGGATGGGGCATGATGAAAATGGAGCAAGGCTCCATTTCCTTGGGAGGATAAAAGTGTTTTAAAAGATTCTTTTCCATTCTCTGCTTTGCTGGCTATAAATCCACGCTGGGAATTCTTTTCTGGAGAGGATTAAAGTTTGCTAGGAACTGATCAATCATTTCTTTCTGAGTATTTTTAGACCAAACCATTTCTTTAAGGGTAAGTGGTTTGTTTAAGGGATATTTCTGAAAACTTTCTTTTTTAAAAATAAGAATTTATGGCCATCAAAATGAACAAAGATAATGAAATCAATTGATTAAATTCCAGCTCAAATACTTTTTTTTTTTTTTAGATAAAGGAAACCTGATTGATGTAAAGCATTTTGAAGTGGTTTTCTCTTGGAGGCCGCTCAGAAGTGTACATTTTGCCTAGAACAACTGGGATTTTTGGGATCAAAACTCCTGGAAGTTGATGGAAAATTGTTTCATTCCTTCCTTTCTTAGGAACAGACCCTTCTGCTCTGACTGTGCATGTTGGGATCATTTTGGAAGCAAACTGGGCTGTCCCTGACTCAAGGATTGCACAGAAATCCTGGTAATAAAACAGAAGTCCGGGATGGACCACGGAAAAGTGGAATTTCCACCAGAATTCAGATCTCTCCATTCAGGGCTCCACATCCATATTGTTTATAACATTCTTCCTGCCTACAGCCCTCACAACTCCATTCCAGTAACACTTAAATACTCTGAATTTTGAGCCCAGTCCCAGTGGATCAGCCTGAAGAGAGCCCACAACTTGTTCTTGGAAAAGGTTCATATTAAACTTTTGATGAGATGTATTTATGACTCTACTTTTTTCCTTCAGTCCTTGGTGTGAAAATTATCATGCACAACACACAGAAATTAAAAGCCAACTGAGAAACCTCTGCAAAACATCTAGAAACAGAACATGTGGCAAAAGAATGCTTGGTGACTGTTCTCCTGCAATTAAGTGTTGCTCCATCAATTAGAAAACCCAATTTCTGACCAATTCAAAAGCCTGAGCAAGACCCTTCATTCTCCTGTACTTATTGATTAAAAATGGGATTGTCCAGGTAGGATCCTCTCAGCTGAGCAGAATTACATGGATCATAAAGAAGCATAATTGAATTATTTTGGGGAAAATTGGTTACAGCCCAAGCAGCTGAAGATTAAAAAGCTGCAGAGCACTGAGGAAATGCAGGAATTCTGCAGCCCAAGGAGGTTAATCAAGCGAAGAGACATGAAGGACCCATTCATTGCTTCCCAAAAATTCCTGGAGTGAGGCAGCAGCGGCAGCACACGTGGACCCCCTGAGCCCACACAAGTGCCATGGCACAGAATCCTGGCATTCCCCACACTGGGGAGTTTACTGGGAGAGACTTCCAGCCCTCCTGGCCATGGGGATGGCGCTCTGGAAAAAGAGCCAAATGGATCAGCAGTGGGGCTGCATTTCTCCAGTGCACTCAGAGCCTGCAGCTCAGACCTTTCCCTCTCACACAGGAGCAGCAACCAATTTCACACAGCACTGTCTTCAGCTGTGAAACTTTAATTCATGCCCCAGCAGATTAGAATATCAATTACAAACCCCCAAATTGATTAGAGTATCAATTACAAAAGGAGAAGTGTGAAGCTGCCCCCCACGACTAACATCCTTAAATTGATTTTTCCTCCTTGAAGTCTCATTGTGAAAAAAGCTTTTTTTTTTTTTTTATTATTTTTTTTTTACCTTTTCTGTTTTATATATACAGAGATTGTGCATTCTGTTGCCACCTGTCCAGAGTGTAAATTCAGCATCCCACATGCATAGGGATAACACAGGGCTGACCAGAAACACCTCCAGGTACCTCTGCTATGGTCATTCTCATAGCACTGACAGGTGAGGGCTCAATCTCCACCAGCTGAACTGCATTAAAACTCTGGATGCAGGGAGTGCACAGGGATGAGAACACAGCAGCAAAGGTTAGAGAGGCAGAGCAAAGACTCAGAAAGATTCTGCTCATTGTTATAAAGAACAAGCTAAAATTTATCACAGAATATCCTGAGTTGGAAGGGACCCATCAACATTATCCAGTCCTGCACAGATGCCCCAAAATCCCACCCAAGAGCATTGTCCAAACGTTTATTTATGGGAATAACTGACTCTTTCTGGAATAAAAATCAAAATCAGAGTTTGCTGAAAGGGAAATACAAAGGAGCCAGTCAGAGATGTCAGGGTGACTGGGAAAATCACCCTTATGCAGGTCTTGATCTGAATCACTTGAATGCAGATCAGGACTGCCCAAGTCAGTTCAATAAAGAATTCAAGTCAGAAAAAGTCTATATGCTTTAAAGATCCAAACTTATTTTAAACAGCTGTTTTTAAAAATAACATCAGTAATGTCAATGGGACATCAAGAATCCACTTTAATCAAGGTGCTGTTTGGAAATGCACTTACATACCCTGATTCACTCACTTTTAATGTCATTAATGATTGCTTTGGAAGCAACACAGAAACCAAGACAAGATTCTTGCATATTATTTTGGAATGCAGTGTTTTAACAGTATTATTTTTAGTAACACTCTTTATATGTATCTCTAAGTATTCCTTGAGCAATTTAGGTGTGCAGGGACACTTTACTTGGCACAGTTTTAACCCAGTATTAGTGAGTATTACGAGAACCTCACCAGCAGGATAAAAAGGCAACAAAATTTAGTAGGAATTAGGTTGAAAGCAGTGAAACAGAGGACTGTTAGTCACAATCTGGAAGCCAAAAAAAGATTCTGCTCTTTTGTGGATGATCTAGAGTCTATTTGATGCTTTTTTTATCATCACCCACCTCCTGCAACCAGGCCACTCTCCCTTTCTTTCCCAAAAATACCAGCACGAGGTTAAACCAGACTGGGATACCAGTGATTCTCTTCCCCATTTAGAACAATCTGCTTTAAAATAGAGCAAGACCAAGTAAGTGCAGGGATTCACAGGGCTCTTACAGTGTCGCTGTCGCTGGGCTGGAACTGGAAAGGCTGAGGTTTGTGGAACACGGAGTTCTCCTGCAAGAACAGCTGGAGATTGTAATCCCGCACCACCTGAGGAAAGAAAAAGGTTTCTTTAGACTCCTTGTTTGGTGAACTGAAAAACAGCTGGAGAGCAAAAGCAGCACAGCTTCCAGCTGAGATTAAACCTGCAGCAGAAGCTTGGGTGCATCAGCACAGAACTGAGGACCTGAGTGGTTCAGAGGCACTGGCAGGACACATAGGGAGTGACAAGGACCTAAAATATCCCTGCCATTTACCTACAAAATGGGGGAAAAACACCAGCTACAGAATAGACACCCTGTGGTGTCACTGCCATAAATATTTTTCCCTCCTCTTGTGGGTAATTTCCTGTGCATTGCTCTTTCTTGAGATGGAAAGTCTAAATTTGGCAGAAATTATTAATTGTGGGAGCTGAAAAGACTTATTTGGAATAATGCATCCAAAATCAGTTACAAACTTCATCTCTCTTTATTAAATTGCTTTCAGAGAAAACTCTCCAAGCTTTGCATTTTGCTGAAGCAAAACTCCTTCAGCTCCCAAATTTGTTTAATGATATGTTTCAGGCAGCATGACACAGATCCCTAAACAAACCTCTTATGTCACAATTTACACAGATTTACAAAGAAATACCCAGTGATTGCAAGATGAAAAAATAGGATCACTGGCTGAAGAACTCTCACAGAGCATTCACTGCCTCAATTGATGAAAATGCATCAAAATTATATCAATTTATTACCAAACTGGGGGTTTACATGTACAAAGGAGATTATAAAGATGGTATTTATCCAGAAATAGCAGCACTGTGCATGACCAAGAACTCTGTGCTGCATGGACAATGGGAAATAAAACTTGTTCTCTAATGCAGCAAAATGTTGATGCTCGTGTTGCTGAAATACTGAACTGTAAAAAATTAATCTCCAGTTAAAGAAAGTAAATAGTCCTCCAGGGCCAATAACACACTCATCTAAACCAGAAAAGTACATAATTACTGCTCCAATTTGAGCAGTTGAACATAAACACACTCAAATGGGGAGAAAACAGACAGGGATTTGCATCACGAATTCCCAGAAATAGAAATTCAGAAAATACTAAAGAAGGAAACATCTGCAGCTTCAGAGGATGCTCAGCACTGATCTGGCATCAAAATAATTTAATTTAAGCAGCTATTCCATTGAATTGTCCTTTAGATCCACGTGAACACTGACCAGAGCACACAACCCTGGGCCACGCCAAATATGTGGAGCTATTTTAAGTTCAATTAGGAAAACCCCCCCAAAATGAAGTTACTGAGGATGTAAACACCTCCACAGATATTTTGATGTGTTTTCCCCAGAAATCTGACTGCCCAGCAAATCAGTTCAAAGCAGAAAACTCATTTTTCCAACAGCACTCCTAGGAGATTTCCCCTCAAAGCCACAATAAGTGGTTAAAAATGAAAACAACTTTATCAGAACAGGAGGCTTGGGAGGATGTGCAAGCCCAGCACATGAAATCCTGCATTTGCACAAAATATTGGACAATTGATAAAAAAGAGAATAAAAAGACTGCAAAGCAACACTGTATCCTTGGGATTAAGCTGCAACTTTTCCAAATAGATTTCCTGTTATTCAGTAATTAAATCAATGTTCTTACACGGTTTCTTTCTGCAGTCAATGTCAACTGACAGGTTACAACAGACCTGAAATCAAACATTAAATATATCCCGTATGCAGAAACAAGGCACAGTTAGAGATGTGCATAAAGGAAATTATTTGCCCTCTCACCAGAAACCTCACAGAAATATTACTCAAAACAGCAAATGGAATTTCAGAAAATATTCCAAAGAAAATCAGATTTTTTTTTTTGAAAGAGAAGTGCAAGAAGTACAAATCTAGAGTAAAACTGTTCAAGTGAAAAAACAGCATTTCATACACAAAATCTGGGTTTTTTAGCTGTTTCCCTCAGTCTGCATCACGTGAGGTGACAGCCAGCCCTGCCCATCCAAGGAGCCATCCCTGGCACTTGTGGGAAGCAATTTGTGTCCTCCTAAAGCAAATACAATTCAATTCCATCCTGCAAACAGAAATGTAGCTCAGATGGGAGAGCAAAAAGATTCCTCCCAATGACCTGAAGTGTCTCTTCTGAGCAGAGCCTGCCAAGCTTGTACTGCAAACTAACAAAGAACAGGTGAGGCATTCAAAACCCCCAATAAATATTTAAAACCTTTGCTTTGATGACAGGTTTATTCTAAATTGCTAACAAATTTATTACATGTTTAACAACTCAAGCTGCCTTTGAAAGACACGGATGGGTTTTGGTGGAGAGAAAATGTTTTTTTCTGGTTTTTTGGGTTTTTTTGGGCTGATTACTGCAACATTTTATGGAAAGAAAGGATAAGCAAAGCCTGTGGAAAAATCCATTAGTTAACATATTCAGAGCAAAGCACACATCTTCAGTAGCAAAGCAACACAAATTTCTCTTCTCCACATTCCTGCAGCACAAGGAGAGAAGCAAATGGAGCTGTAGGAACCAGCTGTAAAAGCCCTGTTGAGACCTGCCAGCTGGATTCACACTCCTGTCCCTTCTCCAGGCACTGTGTCCACGGAGTAAAACACAAACACAACTCACACACACAGCCTGACGTGGTTCTTGTGTAAAATCAGCCAGAGCTGGAGCTCTCTGAAGCACCCCAACCTCAGCACACACAAATATCTGAGGAAAGGATTCCTGCTCCAAGGAAATGTTTGGATATGGCAGTTTAGAACTGGATCAAAGTCCCAACCAGGCAGCTCTCTGAGTATTCTGAACACAAAGGATCTGATACAACAGTGAAAAATTAATTATGCAGACATTACACAGAAGCCTGTTTAGCTGAAAGACTCCAAGCCAGCATTTCAGGGGAAGGTATTTGAAGCAGACTGAATAATACACCCCAAGGTAAATTATTGAGCCCTTCTACAACTGAAGAGAAAATGGTGCTTTGATTATTTTTACATTTGCTGCCAAGTGAATTCAAAGCTGAGGGTGAAGCCCATTTTTCATACCCTCACTTTAGACCTCTGAAGGTGTGAGATCACTTGCTTGGAGGTAAATAAGGAACGTGTTAAATAAGCTTTTGCTCCAGATCTCTGTGTGAATGAGCTCTGTTTCTGGGTGGGTGGGTAAGGTAAACGTAAAAAGGAATATTATGACTGCACCAAAGCAGCTTTTTCTGAGCTCAATGGCAATTTTTTTTCCCCTTCTTTTAGCCCAGCAGATGAATTATTTAAGTATCAAAATTACCCTGGAAGCGATCACGCCTCTCTCAGTCTGGCTGCTCGACAAAGCAAACAAACCACGTCTACAACAGGGCTCTAATTTGTTTGCTGTGTTTGCCACTCTTAATTCCAGGGAGAAAACAGCCTAATAGCTTGGATTTTATGTTGACAGACAATTATTAAGGAATGATCCAAGCAGTTTCCTGGGGCTTTGCTCCAGATTACACCCTGCAGAATCCTCAGCTGCAATTTCCCCTCCCAAACGTGCAGGGTGAGGAGAGCAGAGCATCTCTGGATGCAAATGCACTCAGGGGAAGGCAGTCTGGCTGCTAGAGGAAAAATGCTCCCCAAGAAAACTGTCTGGTGCCTTTCAACCTAACACCACTCAGGAGTAACCAAAAATAACAAAATTTCAGTTTTGTCAAGATTTTGGAAGCGAATCTCAGGCCTGGGGATTTGTCCATGCTGCAAGGATTCAGTTACAAAGCATCATTCAGTTCAAACTTACCCTGCTGGAAGTCTCCAGTAAAAACTGGAATGTGTTTTGTACAGCTTGGCATGTCTCTAGTTCAGTCCTGCTGAATGCCATTAAATAATCCTTAAGGTGATCATATATATTTCCATCAAGAGCCTGCACAAAGGAAAGAAATACAGAAAATCAGGAAAAGCACTAAGTAACTCTGTATACAATTTATCAGTATTCACCCAGGGACTTGCAAGATGCTCACACCATTTTTTTTTAGCAGATTTACACCCGTGAGGAGTGGACAGGAAGAGAAGTGGAAGAAGTACAAGCCCAGAGCAAGACTGCTCAAGTGAAAAGGAACTTAAATTGCATTTTGATACAATCACAGCCCCAGACTGGTTTGGGTGGGAGGGGATGAAGAGCATCCCTCACTCCTGGCAGGAGGAGTGACAGCGCTGGGCTCCATTAGATGGCAGCACACAGCACTGCAACAACATCCCGGCATCCCCATCCAGCTGTTCCCAGGGGCAGAGCAGCTCTGGAGAAGGGAGAGTGCTCATGGACATGTCACTGGGGGCAAGGAAGACACCCAGAACTGCCAGGCCACGGGGTGCTGCCAAGCAGAGTATTCCTCAGGGAGTGCTGCCAGGACACTCAACATCTGGATGGGACACGTCCCCAGCTGTTTTGGGCACAGAGATACCAAATAAGGAACACAAATTTATCCCAAACGTAGCAGTGACAGTGAAGTTGAAACCCCAAAGCTCTGTTGTGAGCAGAGCTGTAAAATCACATCACACAGGGCAGGTTACACAAGTTCTGTGTTAAATATCACTTTGCAAGTGACTGACAATGTCATTTAAATAGTTAACTCAGGATGTATTTAAATATATGTGATATAGGTTTTTAAATAGGTTATATTTCACAGATATCCATTTAAACAGTGTATTCATGGAAACTCCATTCCATTCCAACACACTCAGAATGTTCTTCTCTAGAAAACTGTATTTTATTACTTAAATCATTTTGAAAATTTGAGGGGGGACAAAAGAGTGAAATTGTGCAGGACTTAAGGGATAGGTTCTGCCCCCGAAAAATCAAGCCCAATGTTTAAGGTGAGGTGAACAGACACAGTGAATCAGACACAAATCCTGGAAGTGCTGGACAGAGCTTGGAGCAGCCTGGGATAGTGGAAGGCTGGGATAGTCCCTGCCCATTACAGGGGTGGAACTGGGTGAGCTTTTAGGTCCCTTCCAACCCAAACCACTGCATGTTTTTATGGAATCCCTCAGAAGTTAGGAAGAATAGAAGAGATCTTCCTTCTGCAAAGCTTTTCCAGCAGCACACATCCACCTTCAGTGAGGGATGCTTTGAGGGGATAATCAAATTGTGGGACTGCAATTCTCACATCCAAACTCTGATACCCCAAATCCACCTCACACTACACAATTTTCTTCACCCTCCACCTTCCAAGTGTAAAGGAATTTTTAGCAGATTGTTTCCTCCAGCTTTACACATTAAACCTGACTCAAACCTAGTAATTCTGTGGCCATCAGGAAGCCATTATGCCCAAGCAGTGGCAAACTGGGAATTCCTTCCAAGCCCCCACACTGTAGCTGGTTCACTCAGGGCTTCATTCAGGCTGGGCTCGAGGGGTCAGCAGCCAGGGCAGCTCCTGGAGACCCTGCCCCAGGAAGGACTTCCCACTATGGCTGGGAAAGAGCTATAGGATAACTGCCCCAGCCTCCTGCCCGTGGTGTCAGCTCCACCAAACACTCTGTTACACAGAATTTTTAAAAATTCTGATTTCAAGAGTTAGAGCCAAATGAGGAAAACATCAGGAAACTCCCAGCAGCAAATCCACAGAAAGCAGGCAGCCATGCACAGACACAGGTTTGGTTCTTGCTTGTGCTGCTGTGGGCACAGCTTTGCTGGGATTCACAGGATTTGAACATTCCCTGTGCCTTTAGCCCTGAAGGGACACACGAGTGCCAGAGTCACCACCCCATTCCAGGGGCACTCATTTCACATCCAGTACAGGCAGCCCCAACAGCAGCTCAGCCCTGTGCTCACGGAGAATACAAATGATGGGTGAAATTGCCAAGACTGCCTGTGCTCTCCCTGGGGGACCACGGGGAGCCTGCAACTCCCCCAAAACAGAACTGTTGACTTTTAACTGTTCCTAAAGCTTTTCAGCTCAAACACGGGGGCTGGAGTGCAACTCTGCTAAGAAATGTAAAGAAATAATTTCAATTTGGCAAGGCAATTCTGAGTGCTCAGTTTGCAAAGCAGCTGTGATTTTTTTCATCCCACGATGCCATAAAAGAGAATTTCACAGCTCCATATCAAGCCCAAATGTTGTTTTTCTGCCAAACCCCACAGGAAGGGCTCGTGTCATTACATTTCAGTCTTAAACGCTGAGCTCTGCCTTGGGTTTTGACACTCTGGGTGCTCTGCAGAGCCAGTGGAGAGAAGTTGGTGTTTGTGTGTTGTGATTGATCCCTCTCCAAGATAGATGGCTAAAATAGGTCAGCTGAAAGGCAGGATGCCAAGGGCCTATTCCTCTTCAGTGACCGTGAATAGTGCCCCCACAATTAGCTCACACAGCCACGCCAGGCACACACAGCCCAGCCCCACACGTGTTCACTGCCTCCAATTATCATCCACGCAGCTCTGGGGAGCAATTCATGTCCAGCTGCAGCCTGCAGCTCAAGGAATAGTAAAAAAAAAAAAAAAAAAAAGATAAAAAAAAGAGGGAGAAATATTAACTTCATTATCTCCCCCCTCCTCCTGCAATGACCACAGCTCTGCTGAAATGCCAGAAACCCCCGCAGTGTGATATAAAAAATAAAGATATTTAAGAAAGAACATCAGAGCAAAGTGTGGCAAAACACTGGGGAGCACACGGGTCTGTCAGCATGTGAGAACTGCATTACAGCCTGGCTCCTTTCATTAATTAAAAGCAGTTTCAATATGATGAAGTTCTTAAATACCAATGAGAGCTGCCAGAACTGAAGTTCTGAAAGTCACTGCAATATCACACAGGCAGGGCTGAGAAAGCAGCTCCAACACAGGCTAAAAAGCACAGAAAAGGTGACATCCCATCAGCCACAGCATCAGAGAGCTGGCTGGCTCCAGACTTGCAATAACAATGGATTTATGCTTTCTATAAAATGGTAATTATTACATCGAGCTGGATGTGTTCGTGTTAAAACAAAAGACTTGCTGAACTGTGGGATCTAAATTAACATTCACGTGGGGTTTTATCAGCTGAATCTCATTCACTTACAAACACTCTGACCCAAACCACTGAACATCACAGGTTTTGAAAGGAAAAGTCTTTTCAAAATTTCTCATCACACAACTTGAAGGGGAAACTGGGGGGAAAAAAAAGAAAATCAAAAAACCCAACACCCATTATTCCTCTACAATGGCTTTTGTTCTCTTTCTGACTCTCCAGAGAGCACTAAATCACTTACTGTATTACAGCCCCACTGAAAAATCTGCCTTTTTGTCAACTTCAAAAGGAAATCAAGGGTTTGTTTTTTAAAAAAAAAAACAAATCTGGCATCAAACCCAAGATAATACGAAGTTAAGTAGCACAAAATTACAATTTCCAAGGATAGGAAAAAGTCACTGTTTTTTCAGAAATCATTTCTTTACAGCAGAATTACCATACTAAAGGTACAAAACTACTTCCCCTGTGTCCAAGCTTGAGAAGCTAAAAGCTGGAATTAGGGCTGAGAAGAGTTGAAGCTGTTAATAAACACAATGGACACACAACCAAATTAAAGCCTATTTTTAGAAGAAAACCTATATATTAACTCAAACCAATAAAATTATATAAAGAAAATGGGACAAGAACACAGTTCTGATTTCAACATCCAAGTTTCATGTGTAACTTTGAGAGTTTTTCCCAGAAACAAAACTTCAGTCCCAGCTCAGATCATTTTCAGGAGGGTTTTTTTTGTGTCAAGAGATGATACCGAACATTTTGGGAATTTAGCTTTAATCACTCTACATTCTATGAAAATTCCCTCAAAAGTAAATATGTAAATGAAAGTATTTAAGCTATTATTAAGACATTTGGTTGCCTTTGGGAGGTTGTTACTCATTTAAAATAACATACAGTGTAGAACTGTATGTAGAATTTTCATCTTCATTTCTGTGACTGACTATGAGGCCTCTTCATGAAAACATTTACAGATCTCAGCCACACTCCACTCAAAAATTATCATTTCAGTATCTTGGAGAAGACAGAGAACAAGCTGAATTACTCTGTATTTTTTATTTTAAAAGCAAACAGAAATTAAAGATGGAAACACTGTGTCCAACACAATGCAGAGTTGTGTGAAGCCACCAAGGTGAGTTTTCCCTGTTGTCCCATTTATTTCTGAAATATTCCTGGTATTCTCTTCATGTTTGTCTTGCACAGAAACTTCTCAAATCTGCGCTGAAGCTCTGGGTAATAATTTTACACTTTAAATTCAGGTGTTCAAACTAAACCTCTCATTTAACCACCAGGCACCAAAACCAGTGCGAGTTAAAAACCCTCAATTAAAGGCACACTTGCAAAGCCATGTGGGCTTCACTGACTAATTCCCACCAGTCTCATCTGAATCACCACTGCCTAGAAATAACTTGATATTTGCAAACACACATTTATGTTTTTATGCATTTTAAACTCCCTCACCCCACGCTTGTGACAAGAACCATCATCCTCGAACTAGGGGTGGAATGGGATTATCTTTAAGGTCCCTTCCAACCCAAACCATCCTATGGCTCTGTGAGATTAAGTTTTCATTTCAAAACACCCATCCTTCCCTGAGCTGATGCCACCCAGCAGTTTTTGAAGGCAGATTTTGCCACTGAAATCCTTGGCAAAGGCTCTCCGAGCTGCCACCGCTCAGCCGGAAACAATAGAACTGATGTGGAAGGCAAGGAATTTCCTTACATGGGTGGAGGAACAGCACAAAACCAGAGCTGACCCTCCCCTGCAGCCTGAAAACAGAAAGATAAGGGAATGAAATGAGCTGAACAAAAATCATTGTGTCTGTGGAGTGGTAACTTCTCTCTGGAGTCAATGGGACTGCATCCCGGTAATGTGACTTATTTTCCTGTTCAGCCCCCAAACCAAAAGGGAGATCTGTATCACAGATTCCACT